AAAAAAGACTATAATACAGTATGATACATACTGGGAATTTTATTAATGTTGTAATGGAGAACTGTTGCTTTTTACTGTCAACTTCAGTTTCATATAGCAGAGTCAACCAAATGATTGATGCAAGTGGATGCATCTGGTGGAGCACATCATTCATGTCATGCCAGTAGACCATCAATCACCCTCTACTGCTCAGTCCCATGGGAGACTCTTCAGGGATCTAATGCACCTTCCTGTTGCAAGGTATTTGCCATTCAGCCCCCTCGTGCTTCTTTCACAATCAAACTGTTACACAGATCACATTGAGCATCTCCTTCTCATCTTTCAGAGCTGGACTGTTGCATAAATGCAGACTGCAACCCCAACTCTGGAATTTCAAGTCTGGTTTCCATGGCTTAGGTTGTAAGAGCTGCTCTTTAAACAGAAGCCTCTAGGAATGAAAACAGCCAAGTTTATGCACTAGAAGGGGTAAAGAACATCTGAGTGGCATGGACAAGACAGAGCATGGCTGTTTGATCTCTTGCATTTCAAGGACTAGGAGAAATTACATTATAATAGCAAGTAGCAGCTTCAAGCAAACAAAAAAGAGGTGTTTTCTCAACAAGGGACAGAGGCTGTTTTGTTTATGTTGATCCCATGAGTCATTGGAGAGTTTCATGGAAAAAAATATGGTGAATATCAATTCAAAGATAACATATTCTGGCTTCAGCTACAGCCAAGTAAAGTCTGGGAGAACACTGGTATAATGTTAGTCATATTTTATGGAAATCACACAGGGTGGTGTTCTCATATGGCACTGCAGAATGTATCTGCTGATGAAATGCTCTGGCAAATTAAAGGCGTTTCAAAAGACTCATTAAAACCATTAATTTTATACCACTAATAACTGATATTCAAATACCTCTTTAGGTAATGGAATCTGGCTTAATTTATGTTCTTTCCTGCTGGCAGAATATTTTGTTACCTGTTAAAAAAATCTTGGATTTGTAGACTACAGGAACAAAAAATTACAGTCCCTGGACACACCTGTATTTTGTATAGATTAGATTAGATTACATTAGATTAGGTTAGGTTAGATTTGAACTCAGATAAAATATCTAGTCTTCAAGTAGTGAGTTAAAGGTTTTATACTCTTAATTGCCCCACTAAAACTAATGTTTTGAATTCTTCATATAAAACAGAAATCAAACTGGTTTCCAAATGAAAATACAATCTGTATATAGCTTATTCTATCAAACATAATCAATTTATTAAAAACATTAGTGCTACTAATTTTTCTTCTTTCTCACCCTTTCCTCTCCTCCTACTCTTGTAAGACCATCCTGTTTTCTTTACGTGCCATTACAAAAAGTTGCACTTGGTTGGGGCTCTGAGCAACCTGGTCTAGTGGAAGGTGTCCCTGCCCATGGCAGGGGGGTTGAAACTGGATGGTCTTTAAGGTCCCTTCAAACCCAGACCTTTCAATGATTCTGTGATAATTCTCTCCCTGATCCTTTGCATTTGCATATATATCATGCTTTTCAAATCCTACTGAAACTTCTTTCATGTTCTGCTCTGGGAAAGCCTCGTTTCCTAATCATTGTGTGTTCTAAGCACGCAACCTGAATTAATCCTTTATTTTAATTTTCTGTATCTCCAGCAAGGATAAGCAGGCTGCTCATGACTCTACACATTCCTTCTTCTGTTTTCACAGTAAGTTTGGCCATCCCAAACTTTCAGGCTCCAAATTTTTGCTCTCTTGCGCCATGACTGCTAAAAATGTGGTTGTTTCTCTCTGCTTCTTCTGTAAAGTTGAAACTTCATACCCACAATATGTGCTATAGAGACTGAAAGTGTGTATTCCTTCTGTGTGTTCTTCCCTGAAAAGCCACAGAACTGTAAAATGTAGCAGTGAGTTCCCCAATCATCCTCAGAAGATCATACCTACCTAGAAAATGCACACAAATCCCGAACTGGGGCAACTGAAGTAGAACAATCAGCCTTATGAAACACATTGGCCTTTATTCTTCAGCTTTTCTCACCTAGAGATTTCTGGACTGAGAATAAAATCAACGCTAACTTTTAGAAATGGTGCAGTGCACCTTTTTGCCTTTCCATTCACACTGCTGCTGTGGGCACTGGTCTTTCCCTACAAAATAAAAAAAAATCCATTATTTGGAAGTAATGCAGTTCTGCAGAAATACAGAGTTGGGATTGGCAACCACAGCTGAGATTCTGTGCAAGATCACGAAGACCAATATGAAATTTGATTCCTGAGTAGTAAGCAAATCTGGACGTGAATTCACTGTGAAACCACTTGGCTACAAAGTGGTTATGAAAATAGTCAGGGTGGCTGATGTTTGTCAAGTGATTGTTGGATGTTATACATTCAGTGAGCATCTATTTTATGGAGGAAGTTTTAAGCTACATTTTTATGGTACATTTTTAATTGTTCAAGGCTCGTGGAAGCAGCATGGTTCATTTTATACACATCAGTTGGGAAGCACTGTCGTAGAAGCAATGAATGAACATAATTTCTTTTTCCAAGGGAAAGGGTTGCTGCAGCAGAGATAAGAGGCTACAATTATGATGACAAGCAATTGAGCTGATTTGAAGCCAATGTATTTAAAGTTAAATATTTCTGAAGTTTCTGTATTTTCTGTCCATGAGTTGTGGAAGTTCTTTGTGAGCTTGCCTTTTCTCCATAATTAGCAGCAGGTTACATTGCTTCTGGTTGATAAGCCATTAGTTATTAGTACAGTGCTAAATCTGCCCCTGTAACAAATGACCCAAAGGGGAAAAGCTGTCTGTTTGATGACAATAATAATAGCTTTTAACAATTGGATTTACTTAGCTAGATGCTAATTGATCCACTTACAACCTTCTGCAAGAAGAGTTTGTGAATGTTACACAGGACTGCAGAGAGCTGCAGGCAAAAATTAGAAGACAGCTGGTGAATTAAGGGTTATGAACTGCCAGGTTCTATTGAAGGAAAACTACATTTCAAAAAAGGTCTCGGTCAGTGCTGAACATTTAAAAGAGTTATGCAAAGTTTAACTTTGGATAGTGGTGTCACTATCCAAAAATCACTTTATTACATAGTTACTTATTTTCCATTGTTCTCTTGCTTTCATTGACACTGAAGAGTGGAGAGATACCTGGAAGGTGTCCATGATTATGAAATCCATAATTAGGAATCTGAAGGAAAGAAGTTTCTGTGTCCAGTAATCTTTCAAGAAAAACAAATGACTGATGCGCTGAAATTTGGCAACTGGGAAACCCCCAACCTTGCATAAAATGACAAGGAGCGTTTTAAGTAGAAACCATTTGCAATTTCAGTTAAGCAGAGAAGTGTTTTAACCTGAGATCCACAGGTTTCTGATCCTTTCCCCTCTCCTAGTACCTCTTTGTCTTATTTAATTGTAACCTGTTCCACTCCAAGTACAGGAAAACTGAACCACCATTAAGTGCTGGTCTGTGTGCCAGTCAGGAGGGAATCCATCCAGCTGTGCAAACACAGCTACAGGGCTAACATACTATTCCAGGAGAGAAAAACAGCTTTGCATGTTTCTGGTTGACTAAGCCAAAGCATAATTCCTAGAGACTTCCTCAGTATGAGGAAAAGTATTGCCAAGAAAAAAAAATTACAGGAGAAAAAAGTAAACAATTGCCTGGAATTCTAAGCAGTGTGAGCCACACTGCTGCAATAGCAACACAAGAATTTATAGGGAGAGGGAGTATTTTTTCCCCTGTTTATCACATGGGGATGCTTAAATCTTCATGAATAATATCTTCTGTGTACTTTCTGATGTAAAACAACCCCCAAAACTTTAGAAAATTGAATTAGATGTCCAGTACAGCACATCTGGTGTTACACTCACCATACATGTAGTACTACTGAAATACCCTAGTTTGGAACGTTCATCATCCCTGCTGTGCTGACCTCAGAGTTTACAATGACTGTTTCTGAACCTCCTTTCCTTCATGTTAGAGCAGGCTCCTAACCAGGATTAATAACAGTGCATATTTTAAAGCAGACCCTGAGAGAGACTGGCAGCGTTTGTTCCCATTTACAGTTCTAAAGTCCCTGTCAGCACCAGGGTTCCCAAGGAAGGCAAAGCAATGCTATGCACAGGAGCTGCAGAAGAGCAGGGGAAGGAAGAACATCTTAGAACACTTTAAAACACCTCAAACTCTGCCACAGCAACTTCCCCCCTGGCTGAGTCCTGGAAAACGGCTGGTAATGGTTGTTCTAGGAGACACTTGGAATTCTGTTCCATGCTAAAGGTCTGATCCAACCAGGCACCCTGTATCCTTGCTTCTTTCTGAACTTGATGTGAAGTGGTGGTGCTAGATTGTATATCCAGTGTGTTGATGGACTGAAACTACAACTGTGTGATTTGCAAATTATTTCTCCAACTCATGTTTGAATCAGCACTGAAAACTGCTCAGCCAGTGCTTTGCCACACACTCTGTCTACACTGAGGACTGTGGTGGGCCATAAAAACCTCTGCAAATGATACTGTACACAGCAGTGCCAGTCATATCTTCAGTGTGGTGTGTGTACAATTACAGACAGTCTCTAGCAGTGATCTTACTCTTAATTTCTCAAGAATAAGAAAACAAAACAAAACCAAAAACCAAGAGCAGATATTTGCTCAAGTGTTTAGGAAAGAACTGCCCCTTAGCCATGCTTCTGTGTTTTTGCAGACTATTGATCCATAACTTGGCTCATTTTGAGAAATTGGATTTTTACTTTTAGTGGAACACTTCCAGTGCAGTCTTGCTCCATTGGACCTAATGGTCAAATCCTCACTGGCTTCACTGAATTCAGGATGTAAGTGTAAGTTCATCCAACAGCTCTCAATTTTTCCCCTACAACTACAGTTCAGCTCTTGAAAACAAGACTATGTGGAGGCCCCTTGCTAAGGCTATGAAAGGGTGATGTCTATTGAGAGTCAAAAATTAGATTACAAGGTCCTATTTTGGTGTAGCCAAGAATTATGATATGCAACACATTTATGGTGTTTAGTATCTTTATTGGCATGTCTAAAAATACTTTATTTGCAGCTATTTTTTCAAAATTATTTCTTAAAAATATTCTAATTACACATTTCTAATGCGATCTTCATCTCTGTGTTTGCTCTCGTCACTGATGATGCTCAGTACTAGCATTTGGAGATTTGCTGGTAAGTCTGTAAATTCTACTGTTCTTCACTTCTGTATCAGCAGTGGGCTCACTGTACCTTCTTAAAGACCTGCTTACACATGACTCCACATGCTCTTATTTCCTGAGAAGAGAAAATAATTAAAAAATACAACTTTTACCCAAAAGACATGGCTTTATAGATTCACGTGTATGTCCACCTTAATTTGAATCCACAATTTCTATTAAATTAGTTTGGGAGGCTCATACATATTTTTGCCTATTTTTCATGCTAAAACAAAACCATTTTGTTTTTGTTTTTGTTTTTGTTTTTTTTTCCTGGTACAAGATGGAGTAAGAGAAGTTATTTTGGGACCTCTGATCTTAAGGGCCAAATATTGCGCATTATTCTCTATTTGCAGTTTATGCAACTGCTTAGATCTTTGAAATGGGCATTTCTATTTTGGACACGTAAAGAAGTTGAGGTGGGTTTGACAAGACAGACACAGGCTGAAGGCCCACTCTGGCAACACAGAGATCATGGTACTAAAGCACAGGTGTACACAAGAGTTATCTGGGTCTGTAAAGCAGCACAGCAGAGAGTCCTGACTGATCCTGAGCACACTGGATGCCTAAGGCTGCCTTCTGCGTTCCATAAGAGCTTTCCCAAAATCCTCACTTGCCAGGCATTGGATCCCTGTGAACTGGGCAGAAGCAGGTGCAGTGATGTTCACATCCTGGCCTCTGCTTTGTGAGGGCTGCTGCTTTCACCTGGTGACCCTTCTCTACTGCTGAGAATACTTCACTTTGACCTGAGAAGTGCTCACAGATGTGTCCATGTGGGATGTGTCCATGTGGGATGTGTGCATGTGGGATGTGTCCATGTGGGATGTGTCCATGTGGGATGTGTGCATGGGTCAGCTGGTTTAGGTGGCAGAAAAATAGCATAGGAGCTGTTAAAGGACACAAGGACAAAGGTTATGTATGACCCAGCAGAAGGGATGGTTGTACTTTCCCAACAAGACTTTCAATGAAGATGTGGGAGTACTTTGAGGAAGTTATGCACATTTTTTAGGGGGGACTTACTTGGATAAAATGACATTAAAAACCTTACATTAAGTCAATAACCCTATTGACATATGTTGCTGGACCCCAAGAGGAGAAAGTGCTTCATAATGAACTGGTGAACCAGGCAGACCAATCCACTGATTTGTTCACTACTCTATAGGTAACCCAGAAGAAGGAGTGTGCAATAAGGGCTAAGAGATCTGCTGACAGTGACAAAAACCTGGGGAGCAGAAGCAATCAATACAATAGAAAAGGGCAATAAAACTCAAAAGGAAATGGAGAATGGCCAAATAAGTCACTCACATAAAATAAAATCTAAGGAGGAAAAAGAACTACAAAGTGCAGACCATAGAATGAAATGAAGGAAATAGGAAACAATAAACTACTAAAGCATGTGGTATCACTCTCTACAGAACTGGGGAAGAATTAACACTTGGCTCATTGTGTAAAGTTCAATAGGATCATAAAGCTATCGAAGTATCAATTTTTTAGAGGAAACTGCTCATTTTATCAAAGCACTCTCAAAAGTACAAGCCCTAGTAACCTTAGCTGGTCAAAACTAAAGTACGAAAAGGACTCTTTACTGTGTTTTTAATGGGGAGAGTTACATTAACAAGGATCAGGGAAGTGAAGAGGATGTCTTTTGCAGTTCATGAAATATAAAAAGTGATAAAATTGAAATATTGGGGAGTGGAATCTAAAACACTTTTTGCATGAAGTAATTTTATACTGAGTTCTGAGACAGATTGTGATAAATTTTACAAGTGCCAGTGAGTACAATGATGCCTGCATGAGCTGGCAGGTGTGACACAGAACCCTGCACAGCCTTTGGAAAGAGCCCCAGATCAGTCAGATTACCTTGGGGTACCCAGACTGGCACCAGACACATATATTTGAGAAACTGAATCTCAATTTCTGGCTTATAAAATCAACCTCTTGACAGGGACAAGGTGAGAAAGTGGTCTGGGCTGGAGGTCCATGGCAGGTTGAGTGGATAGCAGCACTCAGGACTCAGAGAAATCCATACTGGGGACTTCCTGAAAATAGTGTTTAGTAGAGGTTTGGGGTACTTTTGCAGATTTCATAGCTCTGCTACTGATTTGAATATTTAGGGAACATCCATTTAGGCTGCTGAATGCTAATAGTCCTGGACAGAAATGGAGGCTGGATTTTATTATCTCAGCAGGAAGACTGCCTTTTACCCACACTGATGAGAGAGTGAGGCTGCTCTAAAGCATTACAGGATAAAAGGATAGGCATCTTCTTTCAGGCCCTGTTAATTTAGGAAGATGAAAATGATGATCTGAAAGAACATACCTTTCAAAAAACTTAATTGCTGTTTTAGTTCTGTAGGCTACAATGCAGTGTGACCTGTAATTATTTTAAAAGAACAATGATGTATTTTTCCCTCATTGTTGGGTGTGCAATTTCACCAGCTCCCATAGTGTGTATTTTAGAGACTGTGAGAGGGACATTCTGTTAAATGTCTTCCTCAGTGTGAACATTTCAGCCTGGCATGTCTGGACAGACAGTTAAAACAGACAGAGTGGTGCTCTGAAACCTTTGTGAGGTTTTTGTGAGGGACACAAAAGTGTAATGGCTCCAAAAGAAATTGTTGCTTTAGAAACAAGTCAAATGCTGCACCAATACATGATTATGTCCAAGCAGGCCCAAACAACAGCACATCCCCTGCTGTGTTACATCCAAACATTTTAATAGAGTGGCATTTAAAACCTCTGACATGATCTTACCAGGTGCATTTTATCTCCTTCAATCCACTGGGTCCAACCACGACCTTCTTTTTCTCCATTCTGTACACAAAGAAGTTTATCTCCATCCCAAGATACAGTGGTCTAACAAAATAGACATGCTCAGTGTTACTGCAGTATTCTCTGGTTTTATGATTAGTTTCCATGAGGCAAAACTTATCTCTAATGTAATTAATAATTAATGTATCCCATAAGAACTGTAGAGTGTTATAATACTTAGGATAACTACAAAAGAAATGAGCCCAAACAGAAAGATGCTGCCCAACTGCCTGCCAAAAACTGGAAGCATGAGATAAAGTTGTTTAAATGCAAGAAAAAAAATACCATCAAAATCACTGATGATGAGAGCACACTGCTCCCTCCCTGCTGACAAACAGCAGGAGAAGGGTCTGCAGCCTAACGCTGTGTTTACAAAAGGAGCTGAAAATTTGAGATTCAGTTTGGGTTTTCCACCCTAAGAATGACTCCCCAGCTGCTCTACCTGAAAAAAAAATTCCCACTTCCCAGCCTTATGGATGAACAAGGCTTTTCAATACTGAGCTGGGTTTTCCTCGTGTCTTAATCTGCCTTCCTTCATGGAGCAGAGTGGTTTGGAAGCATCAGCAAACTGCTGACTTTCCCAGTATCACACCTTTTAACTGAGGCTGGGGAACTGCCTGAGCCAGGACTGGCAGATGAGAGTGAGAGTCAGGTGTTGCAGTATTCAACACAGCACTCTTGTGAATATTGGTGCTGTCCTGAGTGGTTCAGTAAAACTTGATTCATAGAACTACTTAAATGTATGACGGTGCATCCTGCAGTTGTTACTCTGGTTAGTGTTTCCTGACAGTTTGCCTTCACATCTCCCTAAGATAAAGAGGAGCAACACTCTGTAAAATATTTAAAGAGGGAAGAGCACTGACAATTTGTGCTCCATGACGATAATTTAACATCAATATTAGCACATGGCTTTTAAATCAGCTTGTTTGAAGTGACTCTGAGGACTAAATATGGAATTACTGTCTATCTTGTAAAAGCCTTCAGCCTCTGCCTGCATGAGGAGCCAAATCAGGAGAGATGATGAATTCTGATCTGTCATTAAAGGAAACTTCTTGCATCCATCCTGTGGAGTTTCTAAGAGAATTCAGCCTCCATTTTTCAGTCTGGGAATTAATGCCAGTTCAACACTCAGGAACTATGCAGTCCTATTTATTTAATCCGTGCATGTCACAAACAATTAATTCTTAAGTGATATCCTTGATAGCCACTATCTCTGAATGAGTACAGCCAGCAGGCTCCTACTGTGGGCAGCTTTAGACTAAACAAGCATGGAAAATGAATCATAGAAAGAGTGCCAGAACAGATAATCACAGGCAAGGCATTGGTATTGTTCACACATAGTCTGTTTGCACCACATGGGGTCTCTGAAAGACAAACTCATGTGTCCTTGCTAAAAATCTCTTCAATTTGGAAACTGCACTTACAAATTCTTCTGTTCACTTTTGGAAAATGATGTATTTAAACCACGTAGCAGATAACATTTTAATGAAACTATATCCTCTTAATGTGAAAAATGCTAATGTAGGAAGGAACACATTTGGGTAAAACAGTAGTTTATGTGCTCACCCACAATATAAAATCCTTTCCTATATCTGTTTGACTCCTACTATTTGCTGTCTTCTGTCTCTAAGTGGATGTCTTCAGATTCAAAGTGGAAAATGTTTATAAGCTAACATACCTAAGAATTTCTGATGCTGAAAATGAATACAACAGGAAATGAGTGATAACTTGTACGTGTGAGGGATCCTGAGGGACGAAGCCTTTGTACGTGCAACTCTGCTTAGGAACTGCACTTACTCGTATCCATTGAGTATTAGCTCAGCACAGTTTAATCATTAGACTATCTACTAGTTTCTGTGGGTTTTGGTAGGAATTCAAAGGCAATATACCGTGACAAAGTAAGATCCAACTTTATTTATCCAGCTACTAATGCTCAAAGTCAGTTGTGAAAATTATTAGGCCTGATAATATTCCCTGGCTTAGTACATTTGGGGGCAGTCGACAAATATTTGTAGCTGTTCAAGGAAACGTTAACTTTTTAGCCTCCAAGGGTGACTGAAATTGTTTCATCTCAGAAAACAACACACTTTTTTTCTCTGGCTTTCTTGTTTTTCCAGTTAAGATTAGATATTGCTTTTTACAATTTGGTGATAACCACAAAGAGTATAATACCACAGACCGTTAACCAAGCTGCTTTATCAGACAATGTTCTCAGTTATCATCCTCTGCCTTCCCTCAGAGAAATAGAAATGCTGAGGGGATATGAGTAAACCATACAATTTCTGATTTTTGTATGTAGCTATTTTGCTCTCAAGGTTATAAAGGACAGAATATTGCAGGAGAACATAATGTCCTTTTCTTTATTAGCAGAGCAACCCCTTTATGACAGTGAGGTTAATCAGCAGCATCTGTATCTTGTCTTTCTTTAGGTCAAACTGTAACATCTCAATGTCTCTCTTATTAAAGACACACTAATACAGAAGACAGAAAATTCTCTTTCAACTCAGATTGAAACAATTTCTTTCTCTCTAAACATCTCTACTGACACACAGTGAGTGGTAGCTGAGGTTGGAGGGGCTGTGGCTGCTGCATTTGCACCCTCCACCAACACCTAACACAGAGCAACACCTGCCTTACAACATTCCCAAACATTTGGGTCAGAACATAAAAATAATACTCCAAAAATACCACTGTAGGGCAAATGTTGGTATATATCATCTCTTTTGTTGTCTATAAGAGCAAAGATTCATTTTGAAAGACTGGATCAGGATTTCCCCACAGCGTAATCAGGAGCCAAGCACTTGAACAGACTGAGGCAGCTCTGCACGAGCCTGCAGTTGCTGTTGTTTTCCTCTCCTGGCACACACTATCAAGAAACACTTTGCCTTTTATGTAAAGCTACTTTTCTTAGAAAAGTAGGCCTTTCTAATTAACCTTGTTTGCCCCCATTTTGATAATAGTGTTACCTAAGGTTTGCCTGATTACAGAGACTGAGCCATGGCTGGAAACCTTTGCCAGGGTTTGGTGGACACAGCATGCCCAGGCAGGCAGCTCCTATTCTTCATCTTCCTCCACAAGCAAGAGGAGAGGCAGATTAACTCAGAGGACACTGGGAAGCTGCACTTTCCTGATGGTAACAGAACCAAGCAGATGAAAATGTAGTATTTCTCTAAAACTGAAGACTCCTGCAGGATAAATGGAAGACATCATTTATTCCTTTTAACTGGGCAGTACATAACCTAGTTTGTTATAAGCACGCCTGAATTTTGCTTACTCACTATCTGATCATTCTTAAACCTAAGGTGAATACTTCTTAGGTCAGATGCATGTATTTCTGTGGGAAACTTCAGCAGAGAATGGGGATTAACGTGCTATTAAAAATACTGAAGGTACAGAAGAAAAGGTAAGGGAGTGAGATAAGAGTGAGTCTTGCCTTAATTTAACTCTTCTCAAAATCTCTAACCAACAATACTGCACTTTTTTCAGACTGCATACTCTTTGTTCTTGAGGAGTAATAATATGGAATGGAGCTCCTCTGGGAAATGCAAAAGCCTTTGAAGCCTGAGAACACAAAAAAAGTTCAAGTTTTCTTTAGTTTTATGCTATGATTTCTGTAATCTTACACTTTTTCTGTACTCTGATATTTTCCTTTCATTACTTGGTCATTCATACACTTTCATTAGTGATTTAATCTCCTTGATTTAATCTCCTGCTATGAAGATTTAAATTCATGTGCACAGCAACACCACCTTCCTGAAAATTAAAGCCGGAAGAAATTATGATTAAAATATTCTCATTGCTGTTTTCAGTTATGAGACAAGGTCGATTTATTAAATGAAATATTTAATAAAACCAAACCACATCATTGACTATGTCTTTGCCTTTTCTCTAGTAGCAGTAACAGTGGTGAAGTCTTGCACAACTCCAGCTTCTGGTGGCAAGTCATATTGCCCCACAGCCAGAGACAGTGACTTTTGTCATGCACTGAAATAGCCATCAAACCTGTTATCAGAGAACTTTGCATTTCCCAGCGAGGTCTAAGTGCAAACCCATTTGATGCTGGCTCTGCACCACCCTTCCCATTCCCCTGCTGGCTGTTCCTGCTGTGCCAGGTGCTCTGCAGCTGAAGGTACAGAATGTATTTTACGGGCAAATGAAGGAAAATAACTTTTTTCAAAGTAGTTCATGAACATTTTTTGTTAATGCTGCATAGATTTTTGACACATTGCATTTACAAATACGAGCTGCAGCCACCATCTTTCGTCAAAAGTATGTTACTGATTTCCTGTCTGTAGGAGAACCACGGCAGTACCAGCGCTGTTTCTCTCCCACTTCCCCTCAGAGTGTTGTCTCTATGTATGGTGCAGCAAATGACTGCAAAGCTCCAAAAGTGCACTCCCTGCTCCATCTCAGTCCAGCAGTTCCCTGCTTGTGAGAATGACTTGTCATTTCACAGCTCTAATTATGATTTCAGAAGGATTAAACAATGGAAAGTCATTTTTTTTTTAGGTCAGATGACACAGGAAAATCCAATTTGAGCTGTGTCCTGTACAGTGTTTACAAATAACACCAAAGACAATATCCTAGAACTTTTGGTCAAACATGGCAATATATCCAACTAGGTATCCAATGGCTTCTCAAGATAAAGCATTTTCATCTGTACTATCAAAGTGATATAAAACCCTCTGATAAGCAGTTTGCAGGGGAAATTTTCATCAGATGAAGTGCTGATGGAATCAACTAATGTTGATGTCACAGCCAAAGTGTAATGTAGCTGTGAAGGGACGTTCTGTAATGCTGTGGCCTGTGCAGGAGGCTCCAGCCATGCTCAGGGCTTGTCATCTTCTCTGTCCTGTAACCCCTTTCATCTCCTCAAATCTGTGTCTGGTAGGTTGGTGACAGAGGGGGAAACCACTGAGAAAACAACAAACCCAACAGAAAAATCAGTGTTTGGATTCCTGGATTTATCTCAAGAGCCTGTTGCTGGCCAAAGGCTGTGCATACTTAACCACACTGTACCTAGGGCATGATAAAGTCTTCTTTGC